TGCATGTTTCGATTTTTCTCCAGTGCGCTTCGCGCGCGCCGGCCCTGGCGCCGACGCTGCCATTTCCCATGATAAAAGCGGTGGAATCACGTTGTATCCCATCGTTGCAGAGGTCCACATCAAGCCAAACATGTCCATTCAAGCATCTTATCATTTGCCTCTCTCAGCACTGTCGCGCTCGTGGTCGCCAACAGCTCCTTCTTCTGGTTCGCGTCACTGGCGTGTCCTCCCAGGTCTGCGCAGGCCCAACCCCTATCTCCTACCTCCTGCCCTTGTCCTTCTTCCCTTCCTTTCTTCATCGTCATCGGTGGTCCCTCCTCCTTTCCTTTTCCTCTCTTCCGTTGTCCTCCCTCTCGCCTCCCTCGGCCGTCCTTCTTCCGCCTCTCTCCTCCTCTTTCCCCCCTTCCTTCGTCGCCTTCCCACCTTTCATTCGCTCCCGCGTTGCCGTTCTTCCCGCCCCTCCTCCCTGGCGGACTTCGCTCCCCCGTCTGCAGCCATGTTCCAATCGCGCCCCTCCCGTTTTCCATCGCGCCCCTCCTTCCTGCGAGGTCCTGCGAGGCCGCGCTGGGGCTCTCGGGGAGAGGGCCCGCGGCTGGGATTTGGCTGGGCGGCGGCTGGGCCGCGGCGGGGATTCGGCCGGGATATGGCTGGCGGCGGCTTTGGGGGGGTGGCAGTTTTCCTCGGGGGGCGGCGGCTGGGCGGCGGCCGGGATGCGGCTGGGATTGTGCCGGGCGGCGGCTGGGATTTGGTTGGGGTTGTTACCGGGCGGGGGGCCCGCGGGCCTCAGGGGCGCGTCTGCAGCAAGGCATCGGCGCGCGACTTGCATTGGCCAGGGCGCCTTCGGCTCGTCAGTGCTCGCGCCCGGCGCCCTCGCATCGTGACGGGCTGCGTATCAAGCGCACTTCGCATTGGAAGTTCGCATATTCTTGACACGCGTGCATCGTATTCACAGTCATTCTGCACTGCGTGGCGGCATCGTCGTTTCGACCTATTTTCCCTGTTTCGCAGTCGCGCTGCGCAGTGCGGCGGCATTCTTGTTGCGACGCGCCCACGTTCTGCTTCGCAGTCGCGCTGCGCTGCGTGGCTGTATCTGTGTTTCGATGCACGGGCTTGTATTTGTTCCACGGGCGCGTGCGTGTCTGCGGCAATTCCTTCGCAGTGGCAACGCCCTCGTTCGTCGCGCCCAGGGGGGTGCGTTGCCCCCCCCTCGTTTAATTTTTTGTCATTCGCCGCGGTCGCCCGCTTGCAAGGTGCAGCGTAGCGCCGCGGCTTCCCTTCGCTCGGCCGCGCCACAGCAGGCGGCGAAGCGCCGCGCCCCCGCCTCGCCGCTTAGTTCGCTCGCGGCGCGGCTTTCGGCGCCGCGCGGCAAGCTGCGCCCTGTGAGCGAGAATGTTCTAGGTGGGCGGTGTCCAAGACCTCGCGGCTCTGCTCCTTCGCCACCCCCCGTGCCCCCTTCCCCCCAACCGTTTCCCTTCTATCCCCGCCCCTCGTCCCTTCCTCCAGCTGCGCCGACGCTGCGCCGCCGCTGCGCCGCTGCCTTCCCCGCGAGGCCGCCGTCTTCGGGGTCCTTTCTCGCTTCGAGGGGGCCATCCCGCAGCGGGGCTGCGGCCGCGCGAGCGCCGCGCCACTCCTGGTTTCTCTCTTCGGGGGCCTTTCGACGCGCGTTCACCCGGGCCCCCTCGCAGGCGCCGAGAGCGCTAGACCGCCGACGTCTGTCAAGAGATGCGAGAAGCATGGGCGAGTCCGCAAGACGCTGGAGAACCCCATGAAAACCGTTCGCACCTTCGGCAACTGAGCGGCAGACAAGCTGGGCGATCTCTCCGCGCTGAGGGCGCGCGCCCTCTCGCCGCCAGGCGCACTCGACAAGCATCTGATCATGAAGACGTTAGGGGGCCTTGTCAGCGATGCCGCGGGGACTGCAACGTGGGATGAGACTACTGTTTCCCCGCGCATTTTATTCGAGCACGATTGCGCAAGCTGCTGCGGGCAGCCGCGCAAGCACGTCATGACGACGCAGTTGTTCTTGATTTGTTCGCAGGGGCGAGCGGCAATGCCCTGGAGCTGCAGTGGCTGGGAGACGCGCGCATCTACTATGACTCCGCGGACGGAGTTTGACCGCGCCAATGCCGCAGCCACCTCCGTCATCCTTGGGTGGGCCCAGGCTGGCCTCGTCGAAGGCGCCCTTTGCGCCTTTCCGCGCGGCTGCTAGGCGCCCGCGCTGTTCAAATATATTCGCAGACTACGGTGCCCTCATGGGGTTCCGGACGCGGCCCGCGCCGAGGCAGCGCGGCTGAGAACAGGTAACGGCGCGTTAGCTGTCGCTCGCGGGATCTTTCGGGCCTGCACCAAGCAGCAGACTCCAGTGCTCCTTGGGGGCCCTGATGCGTCGAAAGCGTGGCGCTGAGCAGGCGCGTCGGCCCCCGTGGGCCATTCGTCTTGCTGGCAGCTCGCCTTTGACCTGTGCGCCCTCGGAGCGCGCCGGCTTAGGCGAACCCGTTTTGCGGGGCGGGGTGGCGCGCCCCGCAATTGCGTCGAGTGAATGCGACGCGCGCGGGCAAAGGCCGAGGAAGCCACAGTCTGAAACCTCGCGCTATCCTCGGAGGCATGGTGATTTTCAGCAGCATAAGGTTCACCGCTGTCACGACATCTTATCCCAAGCGCTTGCCCAGGACAATCGTCGCGTGGCATTCTAGGTCTGCGGAGCGTCTTCGGGGGGCTCGCTTGACAAGATTCGCCGGCCAGGTTGCACTTCAGGTGGTTCCAGAGCACAGCGTGGGTCCGGGAGTTGCAGTGTCGTTCGGGCCTCACGGAGACCGTAAGCTTGCGCCCCCTAGGCGGGGGCATCCGCCCGCGGCATGAGTGCGCCCGAGCTGGTAAATAGATGCGCCATGCATCTTGATCAGACAGAGATTGAAACACATATGTGGCAAGGTTCGGCATCTCGAGGCTTTCGCCTGTTTCCGTCTGGCCCCGAAGCGAGAAATACGCGACAGTTCTCTGAACGTCTTTCTGTCTCGGTGTTGGCCGCAATGTGTATGCACAGGTATGTTCTCCCAGCGTCCTTTCCTTTCGCCAAAAGGGCTGAGGGAGTTGCAAGGCCCCTCGGGACTCACGGGGGCCTTAGGTTTGTTCTCCCAGGGCGGGGGTACCCGCCCGCGGGATGGGTGCACCCGAGCTGGTGAGTAGCTGTGCTAGGCATATTGATCCGACAGAGATTGATAACAAAACGGGTGCGGCATGGGCCGATATTCCGAGGCGTTCGCGTTCGCCTGTGTCCGTCTGGCCCCGAAGCGACCATGTACATACACAGCCGTGACAAAAGGTTTCTTCAATTTGCTATGATGAAGATCTCTCCCATCCCTCTCATTATTCCTAACATGACATGATGCTGGGTCATCCGGCGGAGTAGTTTCCGATCTCGGGGACGTTAATAGCTCTGTTATCCCAAAACGGGATCGGAAACTACTCCGCGCCAAGCCATATGCATTACCGAGCGGGATGCGATTGCGCGCGGAGTAGTTTTAGTAAAACTATTCCGAACTACTCCGCACGAGCGCGTCATTTCAAAAGGCAATTTGAAAGAAACTTTCGTCACGGCGATGTATATGCATATTCGTGCGTGTGTATATAACACGTAGATACACTCATAAATGTGTGTCTATATCTCTGTTCGCATAGATGTATATATGTATAAACATAAATATATATATGTGTATATAGATAGATAGTTCTAAGTGTATGTTTGTATTCACACATTTCGAGCGCGGCTGCGGGAAGGGGTGAGGGGCCCTGCCCCCCCCGTCTCCCCAGCGGTTGTTTCCCCCAACCCCCAGCCAGGCCCCGCCGCCAACTCCACCCCCCCCTTGGCCAGAAGAAGTAGAGGAGAAACGCGACGACGTCTGCCTACCCCAAGCAGCCAATGTGCGTGCGAGAAGAAACGGTTTGGCCGCGACTTGAAGTAGTTCTTCGCGAGGGGAAACCATCTCGCTCCAATTCGCTTCGGGGGAGGGCGCACGGACCTCAAACGCCCACGCATCGCCGACAGGAGCCTGATCGCTCACCCCGCCCAGGAACCCGCGGCTTCGCTGCTGGGTGCCTGTCGCCGATCTATCGGCGGAGTACAGCCGACTCGACGATGTTTCCCCGTTCAAGTTGGTGCCCCGTATAGTTCACCCGCCAGGACACCGGCATTCTCGAAGAAACCTGCATCAACGAAAACATGTGGAGGTGGGTGCGGAACTCCCGCGGATGTCCGACAGTTTTTTGGTTCATGTTGATTTCTCATCTTCTACACCCAGGAGTCTCAGCGTCTCGTGCCGCTTCAGAGCTCCTAGAGTAGGCCCTGTGGGTGATGCGCAGGCCACCTGGGCCTCATAAGAAGTCCTCGGGCCCCCCTGAACCATGGACACAGTCGACAGCACCTCGGCCACGAAGACGAGGGTCCTGGAGAAACGTTGAAGGAGGATTGGATGCCATAGGAGCGCTGCACTCTCGGGCATGGTTCGTGTTGCCGGGTGCCCTCTTGGGGAGCCTCGTCTCCACGCCAGAACTCCCCGTGGAGATTCAGGTCCGAGCGCGCGGCTGGAGAGGTCCAGGGGGGGAGATTCTTCGAGGTCGCCATGAAGAGAACGTGGTGCTGAGGCAACGGTGTCTTGGAGGTGCATGGCAGCTTTCGGCTCCCAGGGCCGATCCTGGGGCCAGGGGCCCTCAGGGAAAACCAGCTCAGGATGAACAGACACTGAATTTGCAGGCGATTTTCTCCCCCACCCCCTGGCTTCTCGACGAAACTTGCAACCGCTCAGAAACAGAGGGAAACCCTATGATACACCCCCAGGGGGCTATCCGGACGCACCCCTATCGAGGATGGAACCCCTTCCATCGTACATCCCAGGGTTGGACCCCAAATTCCCAGCGCTCGAAAGCCCCACGCAGCGTGGGATAGGGGTCGACGTATCCCTTGCTATGAACGGGGTCCAGGACCCGTTGCATCCATGCGAGAGGACATGGTGTATCTGCCGGGCAACGACTTGCACACGATCCCAAACGTCTCGAAGCCAGAGGAGTGCTGCACGGCTTGCGCCGAGCTTGCGGCCTGCGTCGCGTGGACGTGGGGCCGGCGGCTGAACGAGTCATCGTCAGTGCTGCCACACGGCGCGCACATGTGCTATCTGAAGGGCTCCAAGCCGCGGGTGGTGCTCACGAGGTTGTTCGACCCTGGTTTCACGTCTGGCTGGACCACGCCAGCTATGAGGCCTGGCTCCATCACCACCCAGTGGCCGATGGACAGGGGCTCGCTCTTGTGCGCCTCGTCGCTTTCTTTGTCGTCTGTCGGCCAGGGGGCGGCCAGGAGGCTGGTTGCGCTGCAGTACAACATGCGGGCAAGCATTTTCAACTGCGACGAGTACATGGTGTTCGCGCTCGACGATGAGACGCCAGTTGCTCCTGGTGTATGGCCAGTGCTGCTGAGGCCAGCCGAGCCCGAGGGGCGAATGGTTGGTAGTGGCAGCTGGGCGCGCTCCGGCGGCAAGGAGACAGTCGACCGTATGCTCGTCCTCCGTGACAAGTTGCTGCACTGGCGGCTGCTCATACAAAGTGGCCGGTATCGCTTCCACGACTGGACCGTGGTGGTCGACCCGCAGGCCGTGTTCGTGCCAGGCCGGTTCCGTACGAGGATCCGCGATTTGAGTTATCACCACGACGAGCATATGGCCGCGACCTTCGTAACCGCGTGTGGAGACCATCCGAGCCAGGCGCTCGAGGTCCTGTCGCAGAAAGCCGTGGACGCCTGGTCCCTGGGCTGGGAGCGCTGCCTGGACTTCTTCGCCCCGCAGGCGTCGATCAACCAATCGAAGGAGGAAGGGCTAGTCGATGAATGCCTTGAGATACTGCAGGTCAAGCGCGACACTGACGCACATTTGCTGAACTCGCCAGACTGCAAGCAGACAGTCAACTGTTCGAACGTGTCTTTCACTGCATATCATCCATTCGGCACGGAGGAGTCGTACAGGCGATGTCACGAGCAATCCTCGCCCTCGACGCGGTAGCAGAGTAGTTAGGAGTAGTTAGGCACTGCGGCACGTCTTCTTTTGTTGTGGTGGAGTGGTGGGCAGGGGCTGGGTGGCAGCCAGGGGTGGGGTGGAGGGGTGCGGTACAGTCAAACGTGCAAGCGCACGAGTGCGGCCAGCGCGCTCAGATAGCAGTATTGCTGAGCATGGGCGCCGTTCCCTGACCTGTCCATGCTTCTGTTTGTTCTTGCTATATAAGTTTTTGCCTCTCTCTCTGTACTCTTTCTCTCACTTTTGTATGACGCCTTGACGCTGCGTCTCGTTGCCCCATCGACGTTGTTGATTCTGGAGAGGCGGCTCAATTCATTCGGTGTTCAGTCCCTGCTCGAATTGTAGTTTAAAGAGAGAGGTTTCTGGCACCCTCTTTGAATGCTGTAACCTAACTTTTTCAAAAGGTTGTACGGGTTCCTGACCGCTGGGCGAGCTCCCCGTGGAGGTGGAGCATCCGCCCCGAAGAAAGCGATCATTATAGATTATCACAGGTAAGTCTTCCAAGTGTGACTACGCCGAGCTGCCTAGAGCATCTTCCGTGGACGGGCTAACGGCGATATAGGTAACGATGGTGTAGGTTTCGGTAGTGAGGGAACGCGTGGTTCGCGCTTTCCTACAACTCGCTGTGTCGTGTTCGCTCGATTCATCTGCAGATTGCACACGTAGGAAAGTGTGGTTCGTGAATTCCCAGACGTTGGTTCCCAACATCACCGTTAAGCAACATCGCCGTTAGCCCGGCTTTGGACCCTGGGCGGTCGGATCAAGCGCCGGGCAGGGGGTGACAGAGAACATGTTGTGGAGGGGTGACTGGCAAGTTGCCCGAGTAACGATCGGCGGCGAGCAAGGGGGGAAGTGAGAACGAGAAGGCCTTCTCAGAAGGCGGCGGGGCTTCTCAGAAGCCCTCCGGCCTTCTGAGAGGGTTTTTTTGTTATCTTCGGGGAAATCTTACAATGCTTCTCGGACCCGCCCCCTCTCACTTCCCCCCAGGGCGCGCCGCCGAAAATGATTTGCGCCCGCCGCGGCATCGTGGATGCCCTGTTCGTTGCCGGCGCGGTGAGGCCGACCTTGCCGCAGGCCTTCATACCCGCAAAAACATGCGCTGTTGCCCTCTGAGCCTCCCGTCGCTGCCCCTCCCAATCCACACCTCCCAGCCCATCCTCTTTCCCACCTTCCTCATTCAAGCAGTAGCGAAGCGCTGGCTCGCCTATGGGCCCAGCAAAGAATGTTCTGAGAACCTTTTGTGGTTTGCAAAGTTTGCACCAAATGTCCTTAGAGCATTTCTGTCTGGGGCTGTCTTGTTTTAACACATCGCCTGTATGTTCAAACAACATGGTTTTTGTTTTTATAATTATTTGGGGCTCAAAGACTTTTTCGTGGTAGCCCTATAGGAATGCCGGGACGGTCGGTCCCTACTCAACGTCGCTGCCCCCCCATCCACATCTCTCAGCCCATCCTCTTTCCCACCCTCCTCACCCTCCTCCTCTGTCTTCTTCTGGGCTTTCCTGATGGGGTCGGAGCAGATGGGGTCGGAGGACTCCGCATCGCCGATGTAACGGCGATACGGCTCGATGTTGAGCCCGAGTTGTTCACGTCGGCGTCGCCGATGCATCGCCGACGCCGACGATGCCTAGCCGGTGCATCGCCGATGCATCGCCGATACATCGCCGATGCATCGTCAGTGTATCGGCGATGCGGCGCGATCCTCCGACCCCATCGATTTTTTTTGTGTCTTCGGGGAAGGCTTAGAAAACTTCTCAGAAGCCCGGGGGACTGTGAGCCTGCTGAGAAGGCCCGCCCCTTGTCACTTTCCCCCGTGCTCGCCGCCGCCCACCCTCCTCAGCCTCCTCCTCCTCTGGCTTCTTCTCCCCTCTCCATTCGTCCGCCAAGACCTTTGCCTTGATGCCTGACGTCGTGGGTGGCGCCCCCACCAGCTCCTGAGACGGTGGTGGCTTGGCAGGATGGCGGGCGCGACGGGGGCGGCCACGCTGGTGCAGAACTCATGAGGCAGAACAGTACGAGTGGGGATCCAATTGCGGTGACGCATGGTTGCGTTCGTCGAGAGTGATGCGCAACGCTGCAGCTTAGGCGATTGGGGGTCGTCCTCGGTCGCGATCCGAAATCCGTTTTTTCCTCGGCACGTAGGGGCTCTCACTCCTCTTACCTGAAGAACGGGTCGGGTGTGCCCGGTTTTTGGGCTGGTGCCTGGCTGGTGGGCGCCTCGTGGGCGCCTCTTGTGTGTGTGTGTGGGCCGAGGCTTCGCCTGGGCCCCACCCGTCGACCCTCGTGGGCGACTCGTGGGCGCCTCTTGCGCTGGGTGTGTGGACGGCGGGTGCGCCCGGTGCCGGCCCGAGGGCGCCTCCTGGACCGCCTCGCGGGCGCCTCGCGCGCTGAGCGGGTGCGCAGAGGGTGTCGCCTGCCGCCTGCCCGTGGGCGCCTCGCGGGTGCCTCGTGCGCTGGACGGGTTGGCCGAGGTTTCGCCCGGTGCCGGCCCGTTGGCCGCCGGCAGGCCCCCGTGGGCGGCTTGTGGGCGCCTCGTGCGCTAGATGGGCGTGCCGAGGTTTCGCCCGGTGCCCGCCCGTGGGCGCCTTGTGCGCTGGACGGCCGCAGCTTGCACCAAGTATCCTGCACCACATGGCCCGCACTGCGCAGCTTGCACCACGCGGCTTGCACCACACAGTTTGCATCACATGCATTGCCCCGCGCAGCCCACACCGCACAGCTTACACCACGCAGCTTGCGCCGCGCAGTCTGCACCACACAGCTTGCGCCACGTGGTGCAAACTTGAGCCGCATAGCCTACACCACCTAGAATTAAACCGCATAGCTTACAACGTGCAGTAACTTCATATCTAGGGTCCTCAAATGTTTCCTTCGAACTCGAATTTGATGCTCAATTGCAGTTATTGCATTAAGACGGTTCTCGCTCACTGGCCGCCCACAGCATTTCCGTTGGTTGTAGTCGAGACAAAGTACACAACAGTCCAAAGAGAGTCACCAGGAAGACCCGAGAGATCTCCCAACAAAAAAACTAAAAGGATCCAACACTGGCCAGGACGACCGAAATATTGAAGATAGCGGACCATGGCAAGCATTGCCAGACTGCGGCCGAAGGTGGACTGGACTGCCGCAACATACCTCCCGGCTTGGAGGACTTCATTTTGTTATCGTGATGTTAGTTTCCTGGGCAGTCGTGGGATCTCTTGACCGACTCTTGGACCCTCCTGGGGATTTCTGGGTCCCTTCCGGACCGTCTGCAAACTGTGTTGAGCCCTTTTGTGTGGTCGTCGCCCATCTCGAAGGCGCTCTGAAGGCCATATTCGGCAATTCTGGAGAAATCTTGCAGCCTCTCAGAGACGACCGTTGCCGAGAAGAGGGATACACTTCCCGAGCCGACTGGCAATAGGTCTAGGCTAATTTACTCTGGCCGTTGTGGGGCGGTATTGGGGCATCTTCGGGTTATGTTTGGGGTTTTTGGACCGTCTTAGTTTCCTCTGTGGGCCTCCCTGGGGGCCTGGGACTGAGGCGACCCCAGGGTATTCCGGAGGCCATCGGAGGCCATCCTAGGAGGTGGGGAAGGAGGAACAGAGAGGGAGAAAGATGGCTTGCAAGCCTATGCAGAGACTATGCGCTTAGCAACTGGATGCGAAGAAGCACATGGTTCTGACGTGTTCCAGTCTCCAGCGTTCCTTGACAGCGGTTGCTAAAAAGGATTTCAAGAAGGTAAATTATTTCAATCACCACAGACCTCGTGGAGTCCCCAGCTCCCGTCCTGGACTACGACGGAAATCCCAATCCCGAACGTGCCCGCTCGAGGATGGTTCTTCCCAGGTCCCGACCATGGTGCGTCCAGCGACCGTATCATGTGCATCCCGTTTGTGATTGTTCTTGCAGCTGCGTAGTTTCAGTGTTTGTATGGGTGCCTCGTGCTGACATGCCTGAGGGTTCAGCATTGCACCCTGAGCTGAGAAATACTGAAGACGTGCCCAACCCCCCATACAACACGAGGCTACTATAGACAGGAACGCTCAATGCATAAGAACACACTGAGGGGTCTGCAGTATGCTTCAACACCTCGCCAAAGAGGTCTCGACGAGGGTGCGCATGTCCCTCCGCTCCCCTGGACCTCCCAGGAGCCGACGAGCGTTGTGACACTTGCACAGGTCGCAGCCCGCCATGGCGCCGCGATGTCTCGTCTGGGGCTGCGTGTCCATCCGCCTCACTGGACCTCCCAAGAGTTCACGAATGTGGCGGCAGTTGTGCAGTTGGCTGCCCCTCCAGGGATCCGCTAGGTCTCGTCTGGATGTGCGGATCCGCGAGGTCTCGTCTGGATGTGCGCACAGCTCCACTCCGCTGAACCTCCCAGGAACACACGAAAGTGGCCGGAGTTGCGCGCTGCGCCGCCCCTCCGGTGAGCAGCTCAGTCTCGTCTGGATGTGCGTACAGGTCCACTCCGCTGGACCTCCCAGGGGCACACGAAAGTGGCGAGAGTTGCGCAGATGTCTGACCCCAAGGGCGCCGCGAGGTTGAGCTTGGGTGTGCAGCTCCACTCCGGTGGACCTCCCAGGTGCACTCGAAAGTGGCGAGAGTTGCGCAGATGTCTGAGCCCAAGGGAGCCGCGCCGCGATGTCTAGTCTGGCTGTGCAGCTCGACTCCTGTAGGCTTTCCAGGAACACACGGAAGTGGTGACAGTTGCGCAGTTGGTTGCTTGCCAGGGAGTGGCGAGGTCTCGCCAAGATGTGCGTACAATGTTTCTCCGCTAGACGTCCCTGGAGCCAACGCAAGTGGCGACTCGTTCGCAGTCGGGTGTTTCTTCAGGGAGCAGCGAGGTCTCGTCTCAATGTACGTACATCTCCACTCGACTCGACGTCTCAGGAGCCCACGAAAGTGGCGAGAGCTGCTCACTTGGCTGCCCCTCCCCAGGGGAGCCGCGAGGTGAAACCTGGATGTGTACAACTCCTCTCCGCACCTCCCAGGAGCACACAACAGTAGCGACAGTTGCGCACTTGGCAGCTTACCAGAGAGCCTTGAGGTTCAGCCTGAGCGGTCGAAAAGGAAACACACAGCCAGTAGGAGGGAGAAGGAGGCGGGAGGAAGATGGGAGGAGGTTCGCGAGCCAAGCGCTATTCAAACCTAGAACCCAGCAAAGGAGGGTTGGGAGCAAACTGTACCATACAGTGTCAGGACAGCGCAGGCAGGTGACCGAGCTGGGACGGCGGGTAGGAGCTTTGCGCTCTTCATTGCCGCTGTTGCCACCACTGCTCTGCGTTGGCAGGCGGCATTGTTTCCTACCGCCACAACCACACTTCACCATCGCCCACCACTCATCTACGCCCCACCATAGGGTACAGAAAAGCGATACCACCACCACCACCACCACCAGCGAAGCCCACCCACGCCGCTTCCCCTTGGTTGGGGCAGGGGATGTCTTGAGCGGGAGTGGGGCCCCCCTTGACTCCTCACCCTTGGGCAGGGGATGTCTTGAGCTGGTGGTGGCCGTGTCGCTGATCCTTGATACCACCGCCCACCGTCACCACAAAGCGCCACCGCTTCCGCCACCACAAACCACTCGTGATGCCGTGGCCGCCGCCGCCCGCGCCACCACAGACGGGGCCACCGCGCACCCTCGCGAGCGCCGCCGTCAGCCACCGCCGCTCACCGACCCCGCCGCCGCACAGCCCCATACATCCGGCAGCTCGGCTTTGTTCCAGACATGCCCCCCCCCAGACCTCTCGACTCCTCCTCCTCCTCCTCCTCCTCCTCCTCCTCCTCCTCCTCCTCCTTTTCCTCCTCCTTTTCCTCCTCCTGCTCATCCTCCTCTTCGTCCTCCTCTTCTTCCTCTTCGTCCTCGTCCTCCTCCTCCTCTGCCTCAATAGTCCGGGAGCTAGATCTGTATTCAACGGAGACGGCTGTCTGGTTTTGGTCGATCCGCCGGGTGTCTTTGTTGGGCTTTGACCCCCTCTGGGAGCCTGGAGCATGCCCCCCCTGGCTTTGCCTCGGTCGGGGATGTGGGCCGATGTGGTCGCAAGTTGCGCAGACCCGCTCGGAGTCGGTCGCCCGGCCTCTCCAGGTGTTGTTCCCCGTATCCTAAGATGGGGTTATTGTTATTATTTGGACGCCTTCTCTTCCTCCTTCCTCTTCTTCTTCTTCTTCTCCTCCTCCTCCTCATACCTAGACGTACTCATACACAGACTTACTCATACACATACTTACTCATACTCAGACCTGATCATATTAACGTACTCATACTCAGACCCATCCATACTCCGACCTACTCATACTAAGACTTACTCATGCTGAGACTCACTCATACCCAGACTTACTCATACTCAGACCTTCTCATTGTCTGACTTACTCAACACGCAGCAGATTGTGAGGATGTCTTAGGCGGGGCGCTGACTTCAGCACCCCTGAGGGGAGCCGCCAAGGGGTATGACACGGTCCCGTTCGCGGCCGTTTTGTGGGGATGTCTCAAGCGGTTTGCCTGTTACCTGTCCCAACATATTTCGTTTGGAAAGCAGATTGTGAGGATGTCTCAGGCGGGGCGCTGGTTTCAGCACTCCTAAGGGGAGCCGCCGAGGGGTATGACACGGTCCCGTTCGCGGCCGTGTTGTAGGGATGTCTCAAGCGGTTTGCTTGCCTTCTGCTTTTCTCCCCTAACGTAGACGCGCTCTTATAACAAAACTATCATAGACACATGTTCACCATAGCACTACCCTACAATACGAGATGCACATATGGCTCATATGGCTAAATTTTCATTTAAGTACCCCAAATACAAGATTACCTTTTCAAAAGGATGCACATATGGGGAGCTCCACGCAGAGAGTCATTTGTGTCCTGATCTGCATCCGAGGCGGCGGCGGCGACGGTATCGCAGTGGTCGTGGGCCGCCTCCCTTGGCAAAGCTAAGTACAATCGGAGTGGGTACGCAGGTCGAGACTTGGGACGAAGACAGACAGCAGTGCCCACGGACGTTTGAGACAAGGAGGTCGCCTGCCCAGCAGCGGCCGCAGCTGGTCTTGAACAAGATTGGCTGTCGGCCATCGTGCCCATGCTCTGTGCGTGCCCGTCTGGGGCGTGCCAAGCTCAGACATACGACGTCGTGGTTTTGTTCGCAACGCGGCTCCCCACAGGTCTGGAGCCCCTCCCAGGGACCTGTTTTTCATCTGGGGTGTGGTGAGAGGCCCCGTGGCCCGGCAAGGCCCCCCGCGGGGGGGCGAAAGCTGGAACAGAATTCCAGCCGCGTTTTGTTCCGCGGCGACGTCGGGGAAGAGCAGCGGAACGGCACCGTTTTCCCATCAGCGCGAAGCCCGAAGGGAACAGCATATAACCTCTCTCGGGGGTGAAAACTCGGCCAGCGGGACCATGGCCACGCTGGTGGGGATAGGGTCGGTGAAACCATGCTCAGTTAGTGATCGTTGTTTTACTCATTGTGTTGCCGATCGGCGCGGGCCCTCGCACCCCTCCACCCCCGTGGAGTGGATCTGGGCTGTTTTGGGCGCCTGTTTCGAGCAGGTGCAGTCTCCCCCATGGGACGCACTGTTTGCAAACAGTCGCACTAAGCAGAGGTCTGGAGCCAGACCACCCTCTCCCCCTCCCTTCCGCCCAATTTTTAAACGCCGAATAAAAAAGTACGCTCACCATCGGTGGTAAAAACTTGGCCAGCGAGACCAAGGCCACGCCAATGGGGATAGGGTCGGTGAATCGGTGAAACCATGCTTAGCTGAGCCTCAGGCCTCGAGGCTGGAGGGCGCAGTGCGCAGCTCCATCGGCAGCCTCTCGGCGGAGCTCGCCGCTGGCGGAGACGCCGCGCTGCGCGCCCACGCCGAGCTCAGCGGCTCGGGGGAGCGGCTGGCGGAGCGGGCGCGGGGCCGCCTCGGCCTGTGAGCCGAGGGGCATCGGTCTCCTCCGCGTGGCTCCCCTGCGCTCCTCCGCTCGTGCTGCTCTCGTCGGGGCGATCGACGTGGGTCCTCCTCCTCCTCCTCCTCCTCCTCCTCCTCCTCCTCCTCCTCCTCCTCCTCGCTCCTTCTCGCTCCTTCTCGCTCCTCCTCTTCCTCCTCGCTCCTTCTTGCTCCTCCTCGCTTCTCCTCGCTCCTCCTCGCTCCTCCTCCTCCTCGCTCCTTGCTCCTCCTCCTCCTCGCTCCTCGCTCCTCCTCCTCCTCCTCCTCCTCTCCTCCTCCTCCTCTTCCTCCTCCCCTCCTCCCTTCTCCCCTCCTCCTCTCCTCCTCCTCATCCTCCTCCTCCTCCCTCCTCCTCGCTCCTCCGCCTCCTCCTCCTCCTCCTCCTCCTCCCTCCTTCTCCTCCTACAGGGTACGGAAGTGAGGGGCACAAGGACCAACAGCGAGTCCGGCTCATGTTGGGCAGGCCTCGCTGTCTGTGCCGCCGCGGGCGTTGTCCATCTGAGGCAGAAGGCCGCCTGCCCGACAGCGGCAGCTACAAGTTCTGGACACCACGTGTTGTAGGGCATCGTGCCAATGCGTTCCGTGCCCATGTCGGGCGTCCATCTTTCGTGCTCCTCCCCAGACAGCAGGCGCTCCAACTTGGTTCAATGCCTGGGCCCTGGAGGTCTGGATGACTTCCCTGTCGGGCAGTTTCTCGTACTGAGTCGACGCCGGGCCGTCATAACACAAAAACTCTAGCTGCTTGACGGTCCCAGGGACCGGTGAAGGCCCCTGGGCGACCCGTCTGCGCTCCTCCTCCCTCCTCCTCTGTCCTCCCTCCTCGTCCCCCTCCTCGCCCTCCTCGCCCTCCTTCTCGCTCCTCCTCCTCCTCCACCTCCTCCTCCTCCTCCTCCTCCTCCTCCTCCTCCTCCTCCTCCTCCTCCTCGTGGCTCCTCCGTGCGCGGCGCGGAGAGCCGAAGCCCGCGCGAGCGAGCCTGGGCCCAGCCTCAGTCGGGGCAGACCTCCTCGCGCCGCGGGGATCCTGAGACCTTGGCGTCTCTATTTTTTCGAGCCCGCTGTGTTTGCCCCGTGTGGGGGGCCAGGACTCTCGCAGATCGGTGCGGCTCGAAATTCGGTGCAGAGAGATTGGGTGCAGCGTGTTTGTTCACTACGTTTTTTTTGTTGCCAAGTCCGATCTCAAGGTCCTCGCGCCGCGGCAAAGTCACGGCGGGCAGCTTCTGGCAGCTTTCCGCTCCCGGGGGGCCCTCGCCAGGCCCCTGGGCTGTGGGAGAACGGCCCCGGCCACGCAAAGCCTGTCCAGGGGAAGGGGCACGTCGCAGAAAGCCACGACGTCGGACGTGTGTGTCCTCCTCGTGCTCCCCAGGCATCGGCGGCTCGAAAGATCGATGCGGCCGGTTTCTCTCAATGTTGGGTCTCCGGAGGACCGTCCCCCAAAGCATTCGAGCTGGAAAAGCTTGCCCAGGGGGCAGTGACCAACAGATGCGGGGGCCCACGCCCCGAAAAACAATAGCACATCGAGCCGCCGGGCGACAGCAGCCCCCAAAGCGCCGCAGGCGCCACGGGCGCCGCAGCACTTGCAGGCTCCCTCCTCCTTCTCCTCCAGGCGACGATGAGTCCAGTTTTGATCGAGTCCGTTCTAGTGCATGTAAGACCGCCTACGAGGAGGCGCTGATGGATTCCCTGTGCCACATGAGGCTCAGGGATGCGCCGCCCTTCGTTTTCCTGCGGCCGAAGGCCTACGCGGAGGACAAAGGGGAGCGACGAGGAGGGCATTGCGGGGCAGAGGATCTTGCGCGCGTTTGACAGTACATCGGCGGGTATCCGTGCAGGAGTGATGCAGAGACGGACATTGAACGTACCAGCGTCGAGAGGCGGCTACTGCTACGATTGAGTGTACGACATGGAGAACGATATCGAGTGGCACATCGACGGCGACTTCATGTTATAATGGAATGAAGGCTTTTGGATGCACTACGCTGTCTAGCTTACATGCCCGAGGCTGCTGGTATGACATCGAGCCAGATAGGGGATGGCACACGAGGACCATTGACGAGACCACGCTGCACACGGATGTGGGAGAGGGCCTCTCTTTTTGGCCCCAGACAGGCAGCTCCATGGGATGCACCCTCGGGCCGTGCGACCTCATCAGTTGCTACAGCCCAGGAGTGGCAGCGTGGCTAGATCATTTACTAGAGGGGACACCCAAGGAAATATTGCATTTGACAGAGTGCCCTGTGACAACGAGGAGATGTGACATTTCTGTGGCGACCTTCGTAGACGACGTGACAAAAGGTATACGTGCTCCCAAGGAGACCATCCGCTCATCGCGCTGAGGAACGAGTCGCCCCGCGAGGTGAGCAGCTCGCTCGACGCTCGATGCAGCGGGCAATCGTTGAACTGAGCTAAACAGAGCACCCTGGTACAGTTGTGGGGGGAGGGCGCGGCCACGGAGCAGTGCGCCCTGTCATCATCTTCCAGCTTGCTTGCACGCCCGACGCAACTGACGCCCGTACCTGAGTGCAGACGGTTCGGTCAGCGCCGGGGTAGAGCTGCGCGTCCGCGAAGCGCGTGCAGGATGGCATCGGCTGGGCAAGGTCTGGAACACAAATATGCTCTTCATGATGAAGAGGTGTCTCTCCCTCGCCCCCGTCCAGAAAAGTTGTCTATCGGCGCTAGAGGCATGTGTCTTGGAGCCTGGACACTACGAGACCCTGGGCCGCACCTCAGTTAGGCGATGTAGGAACAAGAGTGGAGGCGTAGCGCACTATGACCCGAGCGTATACAGACCTTCAGCAATCAAGATATATCTTCGCGGCATTGTAGGTCATCCCTGGTGAACAAGAACTCAGAGTGAGACGGCTTGAGTGGTACCCGTCCTTTGCAGCCTCGCCAGTCAACGGGGCCCAGTTCTTGGCGGCAATCTCCGGGAACAGCGCTGTAGACCTATCCCTGGGCATCGAGCGTCTGGAGAAAGGATGGGTATGTTAGGTTCGTCGTCGACCCCTTGGGCTAGGCAGATCCAGAGGGACGCCGAGGAGTTTGCGGCAACAGGGTGGGGGGCGGAGTACTGGTTGGGCCAGCTGGACTCAATCTTGGACGTCTTCCGAGGCCACATGGCGTTCGAGTTCAGCAATTTCGACATAGGTGTATTACGTAGTGCTGGGCACGGTGTTCAGATCCCCCCTCCTCCTGGACATCGGCGGACCTGCAGTAGCAATCGACCCACTTGGCCCTCTGGAAGGAAGATCTTAGCACATTGCGAGACAATCCGTGGCAGTGTTATCTTGGCACGTCGGTGGGTCGTTGTACGTACGCGAGTGGAACGTCTACAGGTCTCGTCTCGCACATGATAAACGCGCACGGACTTCAGTCGTTATTCTTCATCGCAGTCGTTACGCACGGGTGCCCGTGGTGTTGCAATACCCCTTCAAAACTCGTGGGCTCGCTCGTTGACACGCGTCGCAGGTGAGTGAGGAAACAAGGGAATGCAAGCTAGACCGTTCCAAATGGTCCAGTGAAGTGACCGAGCCAGCGCCTGATGCATTGCGTTGTCCGTTCTGCGGCACTTTGGCTCAACGTCGGCAGCAGTTGTTCAACCGCATTATCACGCACCTGCCCGAAGCCATGATTTCTGACTTCGGCCATTTTCCCGCGGCAATCTATGCGAAGGCTGCCAGCGGCGGGGGGAGCAGGACAACCCGGGCCGCAGAGACCGAGGGTTAGAGATGGGTCGAGCGGCAGTGGAAAGTAAGGCAGCGCAAGAGAAGAACTACGAGCGGTGCAGAAGCTGCCCCTGTACCTGAATAGCCAGGCTCGAGAAATAGGAGGGGCGCTGTCAGATACTGGGCTCATCGACAAGAGCGCGTCGATCCCGTCCGCGATGCTGGAAGCAGGCCAGACGCACAACGCAGGTGAGAAGACTGAAGAAAGGTCATTGGTTGGGGGTCTATTTCTCGCACGTGGCAATCGGAAGCTCGAGGCGGCGGTAAAGTTAGACCAGGGCCCCATGCGCAAAGCTATTCTCCAGGACTCACTTTCCGAGTATTGAAGGAACCTTCGTACACGAGCGAGATCTTCGGTACGTGCAAAGCGAAGGTGGCAGCTCAAGGGAGGTCAGCGTCCAACGGCAAGACAGTCATCAAGAGGGCCCTGAAACCGTACGCGATAGTGCCCAAGTCCGACGGGGGCGGCTACTTGTGGTCGGTCTAGGTGAAGGCGGCGCTCATCGCATCGCTGAAGAAGGAGGGCGCGGAGTTCCAGCTGGGGCCCGCGCCGCGCGTGGACACCGCGCGCGAGGTCCAGAACCACGTTGGGTAGAAGGGCCCAGTGAGTGCAGGGGTAGGTGCAGCGAGAGCAGCCCTCTCCTTGTAGGACTTCCCTCGCCCTCTCCCCCCGAGCCGCGCAGCTGCTCGCTCGCATGCGCCCTCCCCCATCATGTGCCACCGCGCACGAGTAACGGAGGGACCCGAGAAGTGAGACGCCCCGTTCATAGGGGCTGGTTCGCCCGAGAAGGGCGGTCCCGTTCTGCGCGAGGCCGCAATAACGAGGTCACGAGATAGTTGACGTTGCCCGGGGCCTAGCGTTAGAGAGTTTTTTTGTTGTAGCAGCGGAGATATGAGGATGAAGACAGACCCTGATGGTATATTCCAAATTCCCGATTCCTCCTCCTCCTCCTCAACCCTCTGTCGTTCATTGCTACTTGTCTGTGGGCAGTGTGTTGCGGTCGATTTAGTTCGACCTTCGGCCCGACACCGATTCGCCGCCGCAGCCGACTCAACCCTCTGCCAGGGGATGGGGGTCGGGGGGCCGCGCCTGCGGAAGGGAGCTTTGCCAGGGGACGCAAAAACGGCCGCTGCCAGCACCGCTGCGTCCGCCGCCGCCACCGCCGCTGGCCGCCCGCAGTTCGCCCAGTGCATCGCTTGTCCGGCCACGCTTCCTGCCCGCTGCGTCGGATGCGCTTCGGTCTTTGCCATCGCACCTTCAGACGGCCGCGGGTGAGGGGGCGTTCGAGCTTCACCCCGTCACCTTTCTCGAGGTCTCCTTGGTTCCTTGGAAGAGCCACGCATGGGCCAGAAGCGCCTGCTGCAGCGCCAGGGAAGTAAAACCAGGCATGCGGCATTACCAGCACCGTCGCAATGCGATAATCACGGCCACAGTCGGCCGTAATTGCTTCGGGGGGGCATGTCCTTGCTGTTTTTTCGTGGTGGGTGATGGATTTAGGGTGGACCTTGCCAGCGACTCGCGTTATTTGGGATCTGTGTTTTCTGTTTCCTTCGCCACGGCCTTTTTTTCCCGCCAGGGACTCCGATTGTAGGTGTTTTGACGTGGCGGTCCCTCAGGGTGAGCGTGACATGTCGCCCCCAGAAGGGGATATACCTATACGACCACCCTGCGGGTGATAAGGAGGTGAGGGTGGAGGGGAAACCAACGTCTCACTCAATCGATCTCGCTATCGATCTTACAATCGATCTCACATTCGATCTCACTATTCGATATCACTATCGATCTCGCTATCGATCTCACTATCGATCTCACAATCGATCTCACAATCGATCTCACATTCGGTCTCACATTCGGTCCCACTGTCGATCTCACTATCGATCTCACATTCGATCTCACAGTCGATCTCACATTCGGTCTCACATTCGGTCTCAATATCCATCTCACTATCGATCTCACAATCGATCTCACTATCGATCTCACATTCGATTTCACATTCGGTCTCACTATCGATCTCACAATCGATCTCATTTTCGATATCATAGTCGATCTCACTATCGATATCACAATCGATCTCGCAATCGATCTCACATTCGGTCTCACAATCGAACTCTCATTCGGTCTAGGTTGGGGAGGCGAATCCAGCCGTGGCGACGAGTGGCCGATCTCACAATCGATATCACCATCGACGTCGTCATCATCATCATCATCATCATCATCGACATCACCATCAACATCATCATCATCATCATCATCATCATCATCGTCATCATCATCAGCATCATCATCATCATCAACGTCGTCATCATCATCTCAATCATCATCACCATCATGGCCATCATCACCATCATCACCATCATCACCATCAGCATCGCGCAATCGATCTGATTATCGATCTCACAGTCGAACTCCCAATCGATCTCACAATCGACGCCATCATCATCATCATCGTCATCATCATCATCATCATCACCATCATCACCATCATCACCATCATTACCATCATCACCATCATCACCATCATCATCTCACAATCGATCTGACTATCGATCTCACAATCGATCTGACTATCGATCTCACAATCGATCTCACCTTCGGTCTCACTATCGATGTCACAATCGATCTCACAATCGACGTCATCATCGTCATCATCAACAACAAAAACAACACCACATCATCATCATCATCATCATCATCATCATCATCATCATCATCATCATCATCATCATCATCATCATCATCATCATCATCATCATCATCATCATCATCATCATCATCATCATCATAATCATCCACATCATCATCGGGACACCGACGGGACACCCGGGACACCAGCGGGACACCGGCGGGACACCGCGCGCCACCGGCCGCCCAGAAGAGACACATTTGGTCCGGCCGCGCCTCAGCCACAGGGACACCGACGGGACACCAGCGGGACACCGGCGGGACACCGCGCGCCACCGGCCGCCCGGAAGAGACACATTTGGTCCGGCCGCGCCTCAGCCACAGGGACACCGACGGGACACCAGCGGGACACCGGCGGGACACCGCGCGCCACCGGCCGCCCGGAAGAGACACATTTGGTCCGGCCGCGCCTCAGCCACAGGGACACCGACGGGACACCAGCGGGACACCGGCGGGACACCGCGCGCCACCGGCCGCCCGGAAGAGACACATTTGGTCCGGCCGCGCCTCAGCCACAGGAGACTTTCCTCTCGCCCGCCCACGCAGCTTCGCCTCGCCCGCGCGCACGGCACGCACGAACACGAAACCGAAGTCGATTTCCCGGTAGAGGGGCTCTCCGTTCCACTTCGATCTCACCCCCTCACCTCCGATAGAGAGCGAGAGAGAGAGAGAGAAAGAAATGGAGTATGATGAGAAGGAGGAGGATGCGGAACTCCAGGGCTGACATCGTCCCTTCTCGCCTCGGGTAACGCATGCCTCTTCCGTGGCGCAGTGAGGTGCGAAGCCATCGGGCCTACGGAATGCGCGGCCGGAAGCGGCATCCGCAGAATTTGAGGCAGGCCCAGGGTGAGGATGAGTCGCTCCAGAGCGTTCCAGAACGCTCTCGGAGCGAAACGGCCGCAGCGCCCGAGACATCCCCCTCGGACCCGTCGGGTCTCAGAGATTCCAGCTTGATCCTCACCTGAGCGACGGAAGAAAGCGGGGTCGAATGCTCGGACATGCGCGCGTCAGCTTCCTGGGTAAGGTCGCGCGTGAGCGCCCTCTTCCCCACGCGGGGTACCACGCTGGCGGCCAGCGCAAGCTGTTGAGTGAGCTTGCTACGCCATCGTGTGCAAGCCTCCTTTCTTGTCATCGCCCATCTGGACCTATATCCTTCTGGCTTCGCCTCACCGGCTGCTGTTGCTGCGGTCGGATTTTTGCTGTTGCTTTGGGCGTCGCTGCACCAGTTCTGGCCCACCACGCTGGGTGCGACACGCCATCCACTTCTCAAGGGGCCCCAGGACACACAAATAAATACACACAAATAAAAAGATGCCCCATATTTTACCATATTTTCTGGGTTTCTGTCTTCCCCCCCACTTCCCATATTTTCCTATATTTTCTGGGGAATCGACGATTCATTGTGTCTGTGTGTTTCTTTCCCTCCTGAACTTCCCCGCCCCCGAGGCGTCGACTTCCCGAGCTCTGCCCGGCCTCCCGCCCCGCTGGGCGGGAGGCCACGCGCTATATCCGCTGGCAGGGCTCCGCGTGCCACCAAGGGCTTGCCGCCGCCGCCCCGTGGCCCTCCCGGCACCGTGCGCCGGCTCGGACCCCACCCGCCCAGCGGCACGCCCGCGGCCCGCCGGCGGTGCGACCCAAAGGACCCGCGGCTCCGGCGGCAGACGCCCGTGATCCGTTCCTCCAGGACGCCTATAGGTAGACGGGTCCGCGCGGATTCCTTGGATCCGCGCTGGGACCCCCGCCCTGGCGCGCGGAGCGCGCCAGGGGCGGCGCCGGAGGCGCCGCCGGGGGGGGCCCAGCGCGAATCCAAGAAATCCGTGCGGAGCGCCCCCAACAAAGCTCGGTTTTATGGCGTTTTGGTTCTCTTATTTTGCATCTTGGGTTGGAGAATCGCGCCACATCGCCGACGCATCGGCGATGCGGCGCCGATGTGGATCCCGATCTTCTACACGCCGATGTCGCCGACGCGTCGGCGATGTCGCCGATGCATCGGCGATGCATCGGCGATCTGTCGGCGATGCGCCAGCCACGTTGGCGCGAGCCTGCAGCACCATCTACTCTCACCCCATCTGGGAGGTTTCAGACAATTCCAAGAATTCCCAGAATTTCCTGGTTTCCTCACGTGTCCCACGGGCTGCAGAAACGGGAGCCGCCAGATACAGTCAAGCCTCTGAAAGAAGGAACGTTTTGGGCTCAGGAGGGGCTCGGGTTTTCGGGCCGTTCCTTAGGTCTAGGTCGGGGAATCTGTCTGTGGCCGAGGTTCGCCGCGGCCCAAAAGCCCCTTCGTTTCTTACTTGGCGTTCCTTGTGGTAGCACGATGACTGTACTTCGGAACTCTTGGAACGCATCCTGAGCCGATCAATCGAACTGCGCCCTCGACCAGCGCCAGTCGTACAAGAAAGATCAGCACGCAAATGAACTTTCGGAGCTCTTCGCGGGTGTCTTGGATTGGCGCCGGCGCAACTTTTCTACGACAAGCTCTCACAACAGTTCGGCATGAAAGAGCAAATTCATATGTACACACCTGCGCGGAACATCTCATGCCAGCCCGGTTGTCCGGCCGAGGACGTGGCCCTGTGTTGACGCCTCCTTTGAAAATTCTGGACAGTACGCTTACTCACGATATCGCTTGGCAACCCGTTGAACACGCCTATCGTGCCAAAGATGGAGCGCCGTATAATGGCTGGCGACCTGGTTCAATCGGATCAAACAGCGCCGTGTCGTGAAATGTCTGAGCTGCTGCGAGGCCAAAAGGTTCCAGATTGTCAACAGCTGGGCGGAACAATGCCGAAAGAGAGGGGGGAGCAAGGCCTGCAGCAACGTTGAATAGTAATCCCAGTGCAGCAGTATCCCGACGCACACATAAGAAAGAGCGCGTTCTGTGGTCGCTTGGAGGGGGGGGGTTGGAACTGGATCCTTCCCCCCCCCTTCCCCGTGATGGAGGGGGTGGGTTTCACCCCCCCCTCTTTCCTTCCTTCTCCCCTACTTTTCCACTCCCTTTCGTCGGGCCAGCGCCTGCGTCGGCGGCGGCTGGCGGCGGCGGCGGGGGCGACGACTTCACGGCGCTGGCGCCTGCGGCGGCGGGCGGCGGCGGCGGGGAGCTTCGACGAGGACGACGGCGACGACGATGACGACGACGACGCTCCGCCACCGTGCCTTGGCTTTAGGTCAGAGTCCTAATGGATGCCTCTTGGGGTCTCGTAGGAGGGTTCTCGGGGACCTCTGAAGGGCATTTGTGAAGCCTCCTGGGCGCCTCTTGGGCATCTCTTGGGGCCTCTCTGAGGTTGTGGTGGTGCTGAGCTGTGGTGGTGGTTGTGGCGGTGTTGGTGGAAGTGGCGGTGGTGATGATGGTGGTGGTTGGTGGTGGTTGGTGGTTGTTGTGGTGGTTGTGGTGTTAGGTTGTGGTGGTGGCGGTGGTGGTGGTGGTGCGGTGGTTTCTGGTGGTGGTGGTGTGGTGGTTGTTCTTGTGGTGGTGGGTTGAGGTGGTGGCGTTGGTGGTGTGGTGGTTTGTAGTGGTGGTTGTGGCGGTGGTGGTAGTGGTTGTGGTGGTGGCGGTGGTGGGTTGTGGTGGTGGTGGTGGCAGTGGTGGTTAGGGTGGTTGGTGGTGGTTTGTTGCGGTGGTGGTGGTTGTGGTTGTTGTGGTGGTGCTGGTGGTGGTGGTTGCGGTCGTGGTGGTGGTGGTGGTGATGGTGTAGTGGCTTGTGGTGGTGGTGGTGGGTTGTGGTGGTGGTGGTGGCGGTGGTTGTGGTGGTGGTGGTGTGGTGGTTTGTTGTGGTGGTAGTGGTTGTGGTGGTGGTGGTGGTTGGTGGTGGCTGTGGTGGTGGTGGTTCGGTGGTGGTGTGGTGGTGGTTTGTGGCGGTGGTGGTGGTGGGTTGTTGTGGTGGTTGTGGCGGTGGTGGTGGTGGTTGTGGTGTGGTGGTTTGTGGTGCTGGTGGCGGTGGTGGTGGTGGCGGTGGTTCGTGGTGGTGGTGGTGGTGGCGGTGGTGGTGGTGGTGTGGTGGTTTGTGGAGGTGGTGGGTTGTGGTTGTGGTGGTGGTGGCGGTGGTGGCGTGGTGGTGTGGTAGATTATGGGGGTGGTGGTTGTTGGTTGTTGTGGTGGTGGTGAGTTGTTGTGGTGGTTGTGTGGTGGTGGTGGCTGTGGTGGTGGTGGTTGTGTGGTGGTTTGGTGGTGGTGGTGGTGGGTTGAGGTGGTGGTTGTGGTGGTGGTTGTGGTGGTGGTGGTTGTGGTGGTTGTGCTGGTGGCGTGGTGGTTTGTGGTCGCGGTGGTGGTGCTGCTGGTAGCGGTGCTGGTCGTGGGTGGTGGGTGGTGGGTGGTGGGTGTTGGTGGTGGTAGTGGTGGTGGTTGTGGTGGTGGTGGTGTGGTTGTTTGTGGTTTTTGTGGTGGATTGTGGTGGGTTGTGGTGGTGGTGGTGGCAGCGGTGGTGATGGTGCTGGTACTGTGTGGTGGTTTTCCATGGTGGTGGTGGTGGTGGTTGTGGTGGATTGTGGTGGGTTGTGGTGGTGCTGGTGGTGGTGGCGTTTCTCGTGGCGGTTGTGTAGTGATTTGTGGTGATGGTGGTGGTTGTGGTGGTGGTGGGTTGTGATGGTTGTGGTGGTCGTTGTGGTTGTGGTAGTGGTGTTGGTGTTATGGTTTGTGGTGGTGGTGGTGGTGGTGTGGCTTTCGTCTCTTCCTGCCACCGTGTTTTGGCTTCGGGTCTGAGTTCTATTGGATGTCTCATGAGGTCTCGTCAGAAGCGTCTCGGGGGCGTCTGAGGAGCATGCGTGAAGCCTCGTGGACCTTCCTAAGGGCCTCTCGGTGGCTTCTGGGGGGCGAGGGCTCGATGGTGGTGGGTTGAGGCGGTGGTGGTGGTGGTGGTGGTGGTGGTGGTGGTGGTAGTGGTGGTAATCGTCGCTGCGTCCCCGCCGTCGCCGGCGCTAGCGCCAGCGCTGCTGGCCGCCGCCAGCGCCAGCGCCGGCGCCCGGGGGGGGGGGGGGGCGGGGTTTTGAACCCCCCCGCTCCCCCACACTGTGGTCATCGTCGCTGCGTCCCCGCCGTCGGCGGTGCTGGCGGCCGCCAGCGCCGGCGCTGGCGCCGAGGGGGAGGGGGGGGGGGTTAGAACCCCCCCTTTCCCTTTCGAAGGGGGGGGGTTCGGGGGGAGGGGGGTTGGGGGGGGAGTGGAGTCCCCCTGGTTTTGATCGACGACGCCGAGTGTTTTTGGGCCCCCCCCCCGGTTCGAAACGCGCCGCCGAATGTTCCCAGGGCAACCGCCCGTGAAGCGCGCTTTCTCGAAGATGAGACGGATACGTGGAAGGGCAGGAAGGAGAAGGAGGGTGGAGGGAGAAGCGGGTGCAGGGAGGACAGCACGGAGGAGGGTGGTGGCCCGGGCGGCGTCAGGGGATTACGTGGACTGCCACCGCCAGCTCCACGCTGGCGGCGCGGGCGGCGGGGGCTGCGCCGCGGATTGGGAGCCTCCGGGGGGCCTGAGGATGACGGCCGCAAGCCTCCGCCCTCCTCTTTCTTCCTCCGCCCTCCTCATCCTTCCTCCCTTACCATCCGAGCCTCCTGTTTCGCACTCCACCTCCTGATTCCTCCTTCCTCCTCCTTGCCCACTTCCTTGGCGCTTCCCTCCTCCCCCTTCCTTTCTCCTCGTCGGTTTCTTCCTGCTCCTGTTCTGGTTCCTCCTCTTCCTTTTTTCTCCTCCTCCTCCTACTTATTCATATTCTTCGTCCCCTCCCTGCCTGCTTCCCTGTTCATTCCTCCTTACGGTGGCCTTCCGGCTGAGCGCCATTGTCTCGCAGGTGCTGCGCCACCCTCCTCCTCCTCCTTCTCCGCCTTCTCCGCCTCATCCCGCCTCCTCTGTCGCCCCGCGTCCCTCCTCCATTTCTTTTCCTTGTAGATAATTCCCCCTGTCGCACCCCAAGGCCAGTTTTTAGGGTGGGCCGGGAGTTTCGCTTGAGATTTCCTCACCCTGTATGACTTTGACGCTTTTAAATTGGCAACAGATTCACATATGGAGGGCGGCTCATTTTCAAAATGTGGCTCTCGCCGTAGCGCCGCGAACATTCGTTCATAAAATGTACAAGAGTGTTACATATATTCGTAATCAACGTACCAGACATGGCGTTTTGGAAGGAGTCTGGACTTCGCGGGTGCAACAGTTACGTTGGCTCGCGGTGTTGAAGTCCCCCAAAAACGGCGTTGTGGCACGGTTCTGGATCGTCAAGACGCAGCAGTCAGGTTGATTCGTGGCGTTGGAATCCCGAGAACAATGTTGCGGCATGTTTCAGGGTCTTCAAACGGCTATCTTCCAACGGGGCAGTTCCGTGAATGGAAATGAACCATTGTCGGAGCCTATGAAGAGGGAGCTTGGAGGGAGGGTTTCTTCCAACATCATTGATGACTCTTGGGTTTACACTGGGCCTCCTCCTCCTCCTCCTGCTCCTCATTTTCCTCTCTCGTCCCGCCTCCTCCTCCTCTTCCTCCTTCTCCCTTCTTTTCTCTCGCCCCGCCTCCTGCCTCCACCTCCTCCTCCTCCTCCTCCTCCTCCTCCTCCTCTTCCTCCTCCTCCTCCCTTCTTTTCTCTCGCCCCGCCTCCTGCCTCCACCTCCTCCTCCCTCCCTCCTCTCCCTCCTCCTCCTCCTCCTCCTCCTCCTCCTCCTCCTCCTCCTCCTCCTCCTCGTTCTCCTCTCTCGTCCCACCTCCCGCCCAGCCTCCGCGAGCGCCTGGACGGCGGCTGCGCTGGTTCGCCCGGCGACGGGGAGACCGGGCCACCCTCTGCCAGCCGGCGAGGCCCTGCGGCGGAGAGGAAGGGACCGGAGGGGATAGGCGCCCGCGGCGGCCCCGCGCGTCGCCGCCCCTGGGGCAGCACGGGGGCGACAGCGTCGCATGGCCGCCCAGCCCAGCCCAGAGGCCCCTGCGGCTGCGACCGCACGCGCGCACCGCCAGCACCAGCAGCAGCATGGCGGCGCGGGGCGACAGCCTCTGGCGCCCAGGCAGCACAGCCGAGGCACATCCGAGGTTGAACGCCGCCCTCGGGGATTGCCTCCAGGGACCTGCAGATGGCCCCCGGAGGCCTCCAGGAATCTCCGCGAGACTCTGGAATTCCCCATCTTTCTCGGTTGTAGCTCCTGGAAGGTTCAGCTCGCTGGAGGGTGGGGCAATTTGTCTCAGTCGCCAACTGGTTTCTTGCAGGTCTCACTCGGGAGGAAGGGCTGATGACGGTCCTGCGAAAGGGTTGCTTGCCGACTCCCCGGCACAAATTGGACAATGATCAGGCGTGTGCGATGTCTCCCTTTCGTCTCTTCCCCCCTTCTCGAAAAAAGAGAAGAAAAATCGCAGGCTGGAGGGTTGAGGCCGAAGTGAAACGGAGTCCGTCCTACCGGGAGATCGATTTCGGTTTCGCTTCGTGTCGCGCGTGGCGTGCGTGTGGGCGAAGCGAAGTCGCGCGAGCTCCTGCACTAGATAGGCCCAGGGCGCGCCCAAAAGAAGTCGCATCCTTGGCCCTCTGGGGGCGTCCGCGGGATTGTCCCGCGGTTGTCACGTGGCTCGTCCATGGTTGGACGGTTTCTCCTAATGGTGAAATAAGCGTTTTAATGGTGAAATAGAAATCTTAATGGTGAAATAGAATTTCTTAATGGTGAAATAGAATACCTTAATGGTGAAATAGAATTTCTTAGTGGTGAAATAGAATACCTTAATGGTGAAATGAAATACCTTAATGGTGAAATAGAATACCTTAATGGTGAAATAGAATACCTTAATGGTGAAATAGAATACCTTACTGGTGAAATAGAATACCTTACTGGTGAAATAAAATACCTTAATGGTGAAATAGAATACACCACGTAAAAACATCACGTCAAGACTCCACGTAAAGACTCCACGTCAAGACTCCACGTCAAGACTCCACGTCAAGACTCCACGTAAAGACTCCACGTAAAGACTCCACGTAAAGACTCCACGTAAAGACTCCACGTAAAGACTCCACGTAAAGACACCACGTCAAAACACCACGCAAAGACGCGCCGCTCCAGCGACGCACGCAAACACCACGCAAAGACGCGCCGCTCCAGCGACGCACGCAAACACCACGCAAAGACGCGCCGCTCCAGCGACGCACGCAAACACCACGCGAAGACGCGCCGCTCCAGCGACGCACGCAAACACCACGCAAAAACACCACGTAAACCGTGACCCACCCCACGGCGCTCCGGCGCCGCTCCAGCGGCGCACGCAAACACCACGCAAAAACACTACGTGAACCGTGACCCGCCCCACGGCGCTCCGGCGCCGCTCCAGCGGCGCACGCAAACACCACGCAAAAACACCACGTAAACCGCCGCTCCAGCGGCGCATGCAAACACCACGCAAAAACACCACGTAAACCGCGACCCACCCCACGGCGCTCCGGCGCCGCTCCAGCGGCGCACGCAAACACCACGCAAAAACACCACGCAAAGACTCCCCGCTCCAGCGGCGCACGCAAACACCACGCAAAAACACAACGTAAACCGCGACCCGCCCCACGGCGCTCTGGCGCCGCTCCAGCGGCGCACGCAAACACCACGCAAAAACACCACGTAAACCGCGACCCGCCCCACGGCGTTCCGGCGCCGCTCCAGCGGTGCACGCAAACACAACGCAAAAACACCACGCAAAAACACCACGCAAAAACACCACGTAAACCGCGACCTGCCCCACTGCGCTCCTGGGGTGCTGCAGCGGCGCTGCAGCGGGCTGCAGCGGCGCTCCAGCTGCGCTCCTGCGCCGCTCCAGCGGCGCACGCAAACACCACGCAAAAACACCACGCAAAAACACAACGTAAACCGCGACCCGCCCCACTGCGCCCCTGCGCCGCTCAAGCGGCGCACGCAAACACCACGCAAAAACACCACGCAAAAACACCACGCAAAAACACCACGTAAACCGCGACCTGCCCCACTGCGCCCCCGCGCCGCTCCAGCGGCGCACGCGAACACAACGCAAAAAAAAACACAACGTAAACCGCGGCCTGCCCCACTGCGCTCCAGGGGCGTTGCCACTGGATTCTTGACGCTCTGCGCCACTGGCCCATCCAAAAACGATGCCCGGTCAGGTTGAGGTGGCCAGGGAAGCGCAGGAGCAAAGAAGGGGCGCAGCCGCTATCTTTGAAAGGAGAAGGAGGAGGAGGAGGAGGAGGAGGAGGAGGAGGAGAAGGAGGAGGAGGAAATGTGTGAGGAGGAGGACATGGAGGACGACGTATAAAACACCACGTAAGCCGCGACCTGCCCCACTGCGCTCCAGGGGCGTTGCAGCGGCACTGCAGCGGCGCTCCAGCTGCGCCCCTGGGCGCCCTGGCGCCGCTCCACGCATAGCAAAAAAAAAAACACCACGTGAACCGCGACCTGCCCCACTGCGTCCCCGCGCCGCCACAGCGGTGCACAAAAACACCACGCAAATACACCACGCAAAAACACCACGCAAAAACACCACGCAGAAAAACACGCCGCGTGAACCGCGACCTGCCCCACTGCGTCCCCGCGCCGCCCCAGCGGCGCACAAATACACTACGCAAATACACCACGCAAAAACACCACGCAAAAACACACCACGTGAACCGCGACCTGTCCCACGGCGCTCCGGCGCCGCCACAGCGGTGCAAAAAAACACCACGCAAAAACACCACGCAAAAGCACCACGTGAACCGCGACCTTCCCCACTGCGCCCCCGCGCCGCCCCAGCGGCGCACAAAAACACCACGCAAATACACCACGCAAAAACACCACGCAGAACAAAAAAACACGCCGCGTGAACCGCGACCTGCCCCACTGCGTCCCCGCGCCGCCCCAGCGGCGCACAAATACACTACGCAAATACACCACGCAAAAACACCACGCAAAAACACACCACGTGAACCGCGACCTGCCCCACTGCGTCCCCGCGCCGCCCCAGCGGCGCACAAAAACACCACGCAAACACACCACGCAAAAACACCACGCAAAACCGCTACGTGGTGTTTTTGCGTGGTGTTTTTGCGTGGTGTATTTGCGTGATGTCTAATTCACCCTCCAGCGTTCGCGTGGTGTTTTTGCGTAGTGTTTTTGCGTGGTGTATTTGCGTGGTGTTTTTGCGTGGTGTCTGATTTCACCATTAGGACGAACTCTCCCATGGTTGATTTGTGGTTGGCCCGCCTTGCTGGTTGTCCAGTGCTTGCCCCGTGGTTGTCCTGTGGTTGTCCCGAGTTTGCCGCGTGGCTGTCCCGTGGTTGTCTTGTGGGTGTGCAGCGGCTGCCCCGAGGTTGTCCCGTGGTCATCTCTTGGTTGTCCCTTTTGTTGTCCCGTGGTTTTGCCCCGTGGTTGTCCTGTGGCTGTCCCGTGGTCGCCCCGTCGTTGCCCCATGTTTGTTCAGTGGTCGACGTGCGTTTGTCCAAACAATTGGCAGCGAGGCCAATAAACACATCTAAATCTAAACATATGTACACAGACCATCTGTTATATATATATATATGTCTAATGTTTCGTGCCGTGTCAAGCGAGGACGACCGATGGAGAGAGCAAGACGGAGATCGATGGACAGGGAGATCGCACTATCATCTGTTGGTGGGATCGAACACCAGATGGTGTGGGCCGACAGGTGGGGAGTCCAATATCGACATTCTATTCATTTGAATTTCGCAAATCTGATCTGACGCCAATCGCAACCCGCAAGCTGCACCTATTCTGTTACAAACCTCTTGATCACCCGAAGGGTGGCCCTATCGATCTCCGTCGAGAACCGTCCTGCTATGGTCTAATCCCCGCTAATTCCATATACTGCAGTTCTGCATTGGGCCTTAATCCGGCATGCTGGCCCTTGAATCGCGTGTCATTGCTTCTGATCGCTCCCAAGAAAATGTCCCAGAAGTTACTTCCTAATTATTCGCCCCCCTTTGGTGAAAAGGACAGGCTTTCGATGCTTGACTCCTTCCATACGCGGCCATGGAGGAGGTCCCGGCCATTTCCCTGCAGGGTGGCCTTCTCGTCCAGTGTTGTGCTGTCCATGGCATACGAGCCTGGAAGGCCCTTGGAGGCCGAACCTGGCGACGCAACCCCCGCTTCGTTTTTTGTTTTGGTTTGTTTCAAGACATGGGTTCAGTCAACCCGCATAGTTAGTTTGGGCAACCTTCCCAGGGGTACCCTTGCATCCTTGCCTCCTCGGTCCATCCTTGGCCACTTTCGTTGGTCGCGCCCCGCTCGAGAAGCTGCGAAATGGCCTTCCAAGGCCCTTGCATCCTTATCGCGCACCCTTCTGCTACGGGTGGACTGTACGCACTCCGGCAGGACGACGACAAGCAATTCCCGTGAGCGTTCCGGAGAACACCTTGGGGCGCTCACCGCAGCTTTCTCTGGAGCACGGCCGCGGCGCCCGGCACGCGCCGCGGCGCAGCTTTCTCTGGAGCACGCGCCGCGGCGCAGCTTTCTCTGGAGCAGGCCCGCCCACTCTATCGGAAAGATGTCCGTTTCGGTCCCGTTCTGTCTTCGTCGTGGCATCTTTTGGGTGGCAAGCCACGGGAGCATCGTATGTCCTCTTAATTCTGTCTTCAGCGCCGATTAGCTTCGAGTAGCGTCTGGGAGTCGTGAGATAGCGCCGACTTCATCGTCGGTTAGCGTCGACTAGCGTCGATTTAGCGTCGACTAGCGTCGATTGAGCGTCTATTAGCGTCGACTCGCAAGAGCCGACAAGATGGCACGGCCTGAGTTGCCACCGAGGAGGAGGTTCGAAGAAGAAAGCAGGGTATAAGCATAAACTTTTGACGCTCCGCGCGGATTTCTGAGATCGGCGCCTGGGGCCCCCCTAGCGGCGCCTCCGGCGCCGCCCCCTGGTGCGCTCCACGCGCCAGGGAGAGGGGTCCAGCGCAGATCCAAGAGATCCGCGCGGAGCGCCAAAAGTTTATGTTTACGCCGTTTCTTCTTCTTGTAGAGGGCCACGGGCCCGGGCGCCTCAGGAGGATGCCCTCGGCCGCGTGGACTTCGCATCCGTGCTGGACGAGGCGCAGCCGACGCCGTCGTCGTCGTCGTCGGGGCGGGTGGGTGGGGGTGGGGAAGGGGCGAGGATGCGGAGGAGGCGGACAAGCAAGTGTGGGGGAAGGTGGATGAGTGATGAGAGGCACCCTCCCTACCAACCAACGATAGTTTGTTGCGAAGGTGCAAGAATTTCGCGATTGGGGTAATGCCCCAGTCCCCTTGATCTGAGTTTCCGCCCAAGTGATGTGCTCATCCGTGCTGGTCTTTATCGGTCTTTATTGCGCTGATTCTTTCTGTTCGTCGCGGTGTCTGCGGGTCTTGCGGACTGATGGCGGTTCTTGTTATTGTAGGCTTCCGGCCTGTCCCGCCGATCCGGGACGCTCCGTGCGAAGTCGTCGTCCTGTTTAGGAGGTTGTGGGTACCTCAAGGAGGCAGGAGGAATGAAGAGGAGGGAGAAGGAGGAGGAGGAGGAGGAGGAGGAGGAGGAGGAGGAGGAGGAGGAGGGGAACGAGGGTGTGTGCAGCCGCCTTCGGCAGTATGATGTGTTGAATGGAATGTTTGCGTTGTGTCCGTCTGTCGAGCATGGTGGCGGTCTAGTTCCCTGACGGGTTGGCTCCTTGGTGGCGCGTTGGGCTTTGGAGCCCCCAGCCCAAAGCTCGGCCCCAGAAAAACAGCAGATCCCCTCCCCCCCCCTTTCCTCGGTAGGGCCACCCCGGCAACCCCTCGGGGCTGAAGAGACGGGGGTCAATGCAAACGGGCGTCAGCCAGAGCGCCAGATCTTACAGGATCCTGCAGGGCCGGGGGCTCATTGACCTGGGCTTGGGTGCAGGATCCTTCCGGATCATTCGCATTGACCCGGGTTTGCGTGCAGGAGCTTGCAGGATCATGCAAGGCCTGATTGACCCGGGTCTGGATGACCCGGATCAGCAGATCCCCGAACCCCTTCAGCAGAGATGAAGCTCAGGCTGCAGTTTTTTCAAACTCACAGTCTGGATCGGCGTTTTTTGGGGGTTGTGTGGGTGTGCGTGCCACTAATGATTCACTAATGCGACTTCGCCAGCGCAGTCACCCTGCCTAGCCGCCCACGCAAAAAGTGTGTGTGTATGTGTGGGGAGGACGGGATGCGCAGGAGGGACTGAGGGAGAGGGATGAGGATCTGAGAGTGGAGGATGTTTGGATGATTGCGATGATGGTGATGGTGAGGGTGATACTGACCGGAGGAGGGCCTAGCTGGATTCCGTTGTCTCGTCTTCCGCGCTTTCCCCCCCCCCGCGGGCGGGCCCCGACCCTCCCCCGACGGCCCCCCCCCCCGATCCATTGCTTTGCCAGGCTCCCCCCCCCGGCTGATTGCGAATCATTCGATGGGGTCACTTTGCGAATCCTTCGAATCCATCGATCGCGAATCCTCCGAATCCTTCGAGGCGAATGCTCTCCAGGGCACCCCGATCGGCGGGGAGAGCAGATTTCAGCGCTGTGGGACGGGACTCCGTCGGGCGGGGTAGGGGGTCGCACCTAGCGTGCCCCCCTCCCACCTTCTTCCACTCCCCTCCCCCTTCCCCTCCCTCTTCTTCCTTCCCTCCCCCTCCCTCCACTCCCCTCCCCTCCCTCCTTCCGCTCCTCTGTGTCCCCCTTCCCCTTCTGCCTGGACTGCCCCTCCCCCTCCCCCTTCCCTCCCTGAACCCTCGAGGAGAGGACGAGGAGGATGCGGGTGATCGTGGAGAAGACGGGGGGAGAAGGTGCCAGGGGAAGGCGTAGTAGATTGAGGAGGAGAGAGAGGGCGAAGAAGGAGGCGGTCGAGGGGCAGGAGGATGATGGTGAAGAGGGAGAGCCAGGAGAAGCAGGCAGGACAAAGGATAAAGGGATGGAGCAGGGGGAGAAGGGTGGAGGCGAAGGGGAGAGAAGAGGATGAGGTGGATGAGAAGGTGGAGAGGGCCAGGGGAGGAGGAGGAGGAGGATGAGCAGAAGGAGGTGGAGGAGGTGGAGGGCGAAGGGCGAGCGCTCAGGCACGATGGAGGAGGGGAGGGAGCGAGGATGGGGAGCTTCCATGCCCCAGGAGAGGGGGAAGGAGGGGCAGGGGGTGCGGGGGAGGCAAGGGCGCGGATCCGGCCGCGGTGCTAAGCCTCTTCCGGCTTCTTGGGCCACGGTCGCCGACATGTGGTTTTGGACGATTTCGGCACCCAGGGTGGGGTGGTGGCGCGCAGTGTTCCCCTCCTGTCGCCCATGCAGGGGTGAGCATTCTCTGCGTGGGGGAGCCCCTCGCGCGGGCATCCACGGGCGCCCGGCTTTCAAGAAAAGCAGGGGGAGGAGACGAGACGAGGATGGGAGGGGCGGGGCTTTTGAGCTCCAGGGAGGGCCCTCGCCACGCTGGGAAACTTTGGACGCTCGCAGCGAAACTTTGCGAGTGCTCGCAGCGATCAGCTGCTTACCACGGGTATTCCTCTGCCGAGGCTTTTCGAGTGCTTGCAGCGATCAGCTGCTTGCCACGGGTATTCCTCTGCCGAGGCCTTTCGAGTACTTGCAGCGATCAGCTGCCCCCTATGAACCTCTTGGGTTGGTCCGGCTGGTATGGCACCAGCTCCCTCGGGGCTTCGCTCCCGTCCGTCCCGCCACGTGATGGCCGCAAGGGTTCATGTTGGTGGTCTGGTCGGGCGGGCCCCATCCCTGCCAGTGGCCCAGTGCGCCCAAGGCGTCACGTCCCCCTGGCCAGCACTTGCGGGCGCCGGCCTCCGCATGCCCTCCCGCCGCTCCACCCTCGGGATACCTGATGGGCGGCGCTCACTTGCACGGTCCTCTCGTGCCAGTCATTTTTGTTTTCAGGTTTATGCACGCGGGGCGCACGGTGCCGGTCGACGGCCATCTGAATTCCTAACTGTACGACAAGGTTGTCTCTTAGCCTCGGGTGCGTGCTGGGCTCCACCCTCGGAGCCGTTCTGGCTCAGGCATTTGCTTGTGCTTGCAGCAGCTTAGATTCAGAACGGCACACAGCTGTTGCGGGCCATTGTGGCTTCCATTTTCGCAGTTCGCGGGATCTCAACCCGCATTCTTTCATTTCCGCTCCGTGGGAGCTACTCCCTGACCACGACCCAGTCCGTGCGATGGCAGGAGGAGGTGCTGGAGGGCATGGGCGCATCTCGTGGGCTCCATGGCACCGCTCAGGGGCATCACCGTCGCCGGCCGCCAAGCGTGACCAAGTGTGGCCCCCCCTGGTCCCTGGCCCACAAGGCTCTCTTCCTGGCGGCTTTGGTCATCATGGTCACTTGCCCGCGTCCAAGAGATGGACATGCAGTGTCTGCGGGTGCAAGAAGAACGAGGCCAGATTCTTCTTTTGCAAGCACTGCGGCCAGCTCAAGCGCGACTCTGCCCAGCACGGTTCGGCCTGGTCGTCTGGCAAAGCTCTTGCCATGTTCGGCGACCGCCCCAGCTCCTCGGGCAAGAGTTGCGAGAAGGGCGTTTCTGGCTCAGGCAAAGGAGTTGCTGGCGCCCCGTCTTCTGCTGGTGCTCCGAAGCTCTCTGCAGACGAATACCTTCAGCTGGCATCCCTGCACGACAAGATGGGCGACTCTCGGGCAGCAGCTGCACATCGCACTGCGGCTGCGGCACTGTCGGCGCCCGCCACTGCTCAACAAGGCGCTTCTCAACAAGGCTCACCAGAAGGCCCGTGCCATTGAGAAGAAGCTTGGGAGCGCAGTCAGCAAGTTCGAGATGCTGGAGGCTCAGCTCGCGGCACAGCGCAACCAAGTGCTGGTCTTGCGCAGCGACCTGGAGCAGGCTGAAGGCGAACACGGCGAGCTCGTGCGGCGGCTTCATGATGAGCTGCCGAGCACTGGCCCACCGTCGGACACGGCCTCAGGCACGAAGCTCTGCTTGGAGGACCTGCTGGACGAGAAGCGTTTCTCCCAGATGTTCGACCTCGATGTTGGGGATTGCTTCACGATCACCGACGACGATCAGCTCTCGCCAGACGAGGCCAAGCAGCTGTCTGATCGGGTGGACCTCTTCAAGTCTGGCATCAGCGACATGGCTCGCTCCCTGTTCGCCGAGGCCAAAGCTAAAGTTGATAAGTTGCGGGAGGAGCACAAGCAGTTGTCTCAGCGTATCGCCAAGAAGCGTAAGACGGACAGTGGTGCTACGGTCGACGGCGCTGATGTCCCTGTTGATCAGGCTCCCCCACCTGCTGGTGCCAGCAAGGATGAATCTTCTGCGTCTGGCGCCAATGGTGGAGACCGCCCAGAGGCAGGAGCAGGTGCTGCTGGCTCGGCCTCGGAGCAGTCTGCGACGGGCTCGGCTTCGCCTACCACTCCGTCAAGTACCAGGGCGCGTGCTGACAGGATTGCTGGAGCTGTCTCTGATTCAGCCCCTCCTGGAGCCCGTTTGTTAGAGTTTTCCCTGAGCCTTGGGATCTTGGGCCTAGTCCCTCGGTATTCCTGGTGGTTCGGGACGGCCTGGTTGGCCATGAGCTCGGACAGCGGTAAACTCCAGGGGGGCATCATTTCTTCGTTTAGCTTTGGCCGCACAGCGGCTCAGATTGCGCTCTGGTGCAAGCGAGGCCTACCTCTGGTTCTCGCTTCCTCCTCTGATGAGTCTTTCTCCCAGAGGTTGAAATCATGTCAGAAGGTCCCACCGTCAGCCCGATGGCGCGACCTCATGACTCGTGTGGATTCAGCAGTCTTTCAGGCAGTCGACCACCCGTGTCACTCGTTTTATCGCATGTGCCAGGCTCTTGTGAATTTTGCTTGTCCAGCGAATGAGTATCCTGTGCTCTCTCTTGACAAGGATGTTCCCTGTCGCACCACCTTAATCAGGCTGCCTTTGCCCGAGCCCATGGAGGTTCGGCAAGGCGCGGGCTCTGGCAGGACTGGTGCTGTGTCAGGGAGTCTGGACACTTGCAGCCATGATCTTGGGACTCCTGGGCCGTTGGTGGACCAGGAGACTCGACGTGGCCTGCAGCCGCCACCTTTTGCTCGAAGCGCTCGGTTTTTGGTCTCAGGACGTGCAAGCAAGGGTCTGGATGGCCTATGCTTCCCCA